CCAGAATGACAGGACTGAAGTGGACCTTCTCCTTCATCTTCTCCCACACTCTGAAGGACAGGTTGCCCAGGTGTTTGGCCACATCTATCAGTGCTCCTGAGACCAGCTGTGGATCTGACACTGAGCTCTGGGCTCTGGCTCTGCTCTGAGTGTCTTTATAACTGCTGAGGAATGGCACGCTGTGTTTCTGCAGCTCTTCTTCAACAGCAGAGATGCTGTCTGACAGAGAGGAGATCTGCTCCTCAATCATCTTCATCTCTCTGCTGATAGTCCTCCCCTTCTGCTCCTCTTCCTCCCTCAGAGCTGCCAGTCTGGACTCCTCTTCCTCTTTCAGGAACTGCTGGAGCTTGTTGAACTCTGCTCTGATCTGCCTCTCTGTGGACAACAGCTGCTTCTTCACGTGTTCCCTCATTTCATTGTATGTTTCCTCCACTTGTTTGTATTTGTTCCTCTTGTCCTGCAGAGACTTTAAGTCAGATTTCAGCTGCTCCTTCAGGTCACTGACTGCTTCTTCTACAGGAACCACTTTGTGACTCTGGTGGAGAGAAAACTCACACACGGTACACACAGCTCTCTGCTCGTCCACACAGAACAGTTTAGATTCTTTTTGGTGTTGATTGCAAGACATTTCCACCATCTTCTTTTCTTTTACTCTCTCGGATAATCGAGCTGTATTTATCCCATCATACTTATCAGCCACTTTGTTCTGATCAAAGTTGGTCAGATGGGTAAGAGAGTGCATTTGATCTTCCATGTGGTTTGAGGGTCTCCTTTTACAAATAGGACAGATTTTGTTTTTGACTTGTTCTCAAAATTGTTGCGGGCAGCTTGAATAGAATCTGTGGTTACAGATCAGAGACACAGCACCTTTGAAAATCTAAGAACAGAAAGTGGATTAAAGTGCATAAGAAAATAAGTCTTTTTCTGCATTTTCTCTGTTTTCAAATGAGAAACTCACCAAATCAAAATTCCTCACAGTTTTCCTCCTACTGTCCACCACGTAAGTACAGACTGGTAACAGACACCAAACCCTGTAATGACTACTTGGTTTCAACAGTCACTTCAAATTTCATCTAAATCATTCATTGGTTGATTATTAACTGCATTGTGCTAGCTTTTACTACCCTTATGGAGAATGGGATCTGTCCTGAAACAACCATAAACTAACCTACTGACTCAAAACTCTCGAGAATCTTTTATTGGGGATAAAATTATTACTTTTTTAGTTTAAGTTATTTGTGTTTTCCAAGCAAATGTCAAACATTTGTTTACATTATAAATCTCCCCTTTTATTTTAGATTGCAGCTCTTTCTTTGGATGTTGCTTCACAGCTTTTATTGTCCTCCTGTTGCAGCCTTGATGTCAACAGTTATTACCTTGTGTATTCTTATAGACAAAGGAGTTCTTCATACTTCCCTGTGGTTTATGATTTTATTTTATTTTATTGCAATAAGTCATTGTATAGGCTCCGTTCCACAAAAGGCCAAATTTCAATGTACAAACTTTTTTTAAACTTACATTTATTTTTAAAAACAAATATTTTTATTTTTAAAACAGATTTTAAAGTTGGAGGTTTTTGCATCTTTTGCCTCCAAATATGAAAAATAATGGAAGTGTTTCTTTAAATGTAGGTCTGAGCCCTGTTTTCAATTGATATTTGTCCTTTTATGTTCACAGACACATCAAACTGGAGCCAGGCTTCTCAGTTTTTTCCCATCTGACATATGAAGTGAGAGTTTAAAGAAACAGCAGCTCCAACTGAACAAATGTTTAAGGATTACTAAAGTAATGTTAGTACTGAATCGTTATAACAGACATCCATCTAGATTCTAGATGGTTAATCAGAAGAAAATCACTTATCATTGAAAAAATAAAAGATTAAAAAAAAATAAAGGTTGATTAGCTTCCACTTGGATTTAACCCCACCAGCATGGACCTCTCTGTATGGTATTTGCATATTCTCCATGTCCACAGTCTCTCGTCCCATAACAGCTCAGATAGGCAGCAGTCCCCACCATCCGCCCACATGGATACATGGAGGAAAACGGATGAATGTTCTGAGATTTTAAAAACCACAGAAAACAAATATTTGTGAAAGTGAGATTTTATTACATTTTTCCTAATCTGTTGGATTCCATTGCTAACTCCAGTATTAGTACTCATTAACTGATTACACTTAAATGTAACCTGATGCCTTTCAGTGCATGTGTGGCTGAAGAGCCCTAATTTTTTCAATTATTATTAGAAAACTGATATAGAGCTTGAGCACTGTTCATCAGATACATTACATTTCCATGTTTGTTTCCACCAACTCTAGATTTGCCCAGAATTTTTTAAAGAGAAACACAAAAACATCATAAAAACATTTATTGACTGAGAAAATCAGCGATCACTGATTCTCTTTTTTCAAATGAAACCTTGCCTTGAACTCTCTGCCAAGGAAACACAGTTCAGTAACAGATGCCAAGCCCTGCATTGGTTTCAAAATACTCTACTTGATACTCAGATTTCATGTGGATTTTTTATCAGTTAGTTATTAACTGGATTCTGCTGTCTTATATTACCTTTAGGCAGAACAGGATGCAGCTGAAACATGAATCATGGACTTCAAACCCTGGAGATTTTGCTTGACTATCATTTGATCAAATTATTTTTACTTCATAAGCCATTTGTGTTTTTCAAACTCACTGTCAAACATGAGCTTCATTTATGTCATAAATCTCCCCTTTGACTTTGGTTTATGGTTCCTTCTTTGGACTTTGCTTCACAGCTTTTATTGTCCTCCTGCAGCTTTGATCTCAACATGTATTACATTGTGTATTGTAAGAGAACCAGGGATTTCTCATGTACTTCACTGTGGTTTATGACTTTATTTTGATTCATTTTTTACAATGAATGTTTGTATGGTGGTGGCGATTTTACTACATTGCTGTTTGTTCATGTCTGTACAGTAGTACAGAAATGTAGTAGCAGCTTAATAACCTCCTGACTAAAATGTGAGGAGTAAATGCTAAAATCCCCCCAACAACCTCAAGCGCTTTTTTTTAGTATATGCAGGACTATATTGTGAAAATCAGTACAAATATTGTTTACATTAAAGACTTTTTGTTGAAATTCATTTTGTGGATCTATTTTACAAATTTGGAGAATGAAAAAAATACATTAAATATTTAGCATCTCATTTTATTCTTTGTGGTTATGAGGATCATTATTTTGCATGCTGTTCTATGGGTTTCTTATGTACATAGCTGAGAGGAGATGAGACACATTCGCTGCTGTTTCACTGACCCTGCATGTTAATGCTGCGCAACATGTAACTGCACAATAACTTTGGTGTCAGATCAAACAGACAAGCCGGTCAGTCAAGTTTTTTTAAGCTTGGAATAAAACAAAACAGCTTCCATTCAGATGAAATAGCACAAATACCTTTAATGAATCCCACAAAACAAAAAAGATTTTGATTGTACTAACAAAACCAAATAAATATATACAGAATGCAGTACAGCCAGTGCTGATATACGTATTAAACAGACAACAGATGCATTAGTATTTGGTCCATTTACACAGTAGCACATTATATTGTATTTAAAATTGTAAAAATTTATTTTCCCTAACTGAATGATTTGACAGTGAGCTCGGAATAACTAACCTGACCAAAACATCAGCAGCAAAAGTCCAAAGCTCCAGGGCTACAACAGTTAACTCACCTAAAAGCTGTCTTGAAATGAGCCCCCCATTATGTTACAGCTGGCTTGAAATTGAATTGAACTAAATTATTTTAATTTAGCCACATTGGAGGGTTTTCGTGCATGATTGATCTGTTTAAGGTCATCACAAACCAGCTCAATCTGATTTATTTCTGCACTCTGACTAGGATACTCCAAAACCTTCCTTTTATTCACTTATTCATTTATTATTTGCATCATTTAAAGGTGGACTTGCTTGTTTTGTATCCTTCTGCATAATCCAAGTGAATTTAAATTTCAGAGCACTGATGGCCGGACATTTTCCTTCGGGATTCTGAATTTCCAGGATCTAAATAGTAGATAGCTAAATTCATGGTTTCACTAATTACAGCAAGTTGTCCAGATCCTGAAGCAGAAAAGTACCCTCTATCCCTCTATGACTCTTAATATGATATATGTTTTACGAAATGCCGTTAATTTTATGGCAGATACAAAGGAATGTGAACCTTCCAAGAAGTTCAACTTTTATCTCATCAGTCAACAGAATTTTTTCTTAAAAACACACAGCAAGATGTATTTTGGGAAATGTGAGATGAGCTTTTGTGTTTGTTTTGGTCAGCAGTAGTTTTCACTTTGGAAGTCTCCTATAGATGCCATTTTTTAACCCAGTCTCTTTCTTATTGTTGAATCATGAACTCTGATATTAACTGAGGTAAGTGGAGTCTGCAATTCTTTGTTCTGGATTCTTTTGTGATCTCCTGGAGTAATTTTGGTAGGCTGGCCACGACTGGGAAGGTTCACCACTGTTGTAAGTTTTCTCCATTTGTGGATATTGGCTCACAGCGTGGTTCACTGGGGTCAAAGGTCTCATAATTGGCTTTAGAACTCCTTCCAGACTGACAGATGTCAGTGAGTTTGTTTCTCATCTCTTCTTGAGGATCTTTATATTTTGGCATGAAGTTTAATGAACCATTAAATCACTGTAAATGGTTGGTTCATTCTTCATAATAGATTAAATGTATTTTAATCAAAAGTATCAATAAATGTTAAATGTCAGAAACAAAACAAAGTAAGATGAAGGTTTTCAACAGCTTTCTTCTTCATGAAACCAATTTGTTTGAACTTGGTATTTCCCTTCTTGGATAAAGAAGAATTACATTCATGATTTGCGGCATTATTCCATCCTTTTTGAAAGTCTTGTTTACATTTTAAAAATAAATCTAACCAACATTTACCAACAGTTTACAAAATAAACAGATATAATAATCACCACAAATTAAATATCAAACCAAAACAGAAACACTCTCCTCAACTTTACAATGAAATGTTAGTCGGACAAATTTTGATATCAGAGGTTTTGGAATCTCCTGCCTTTCCAACATTGAAATATGGGAAGAGTTTCTCAGTGAAAGTGTCTCTGTGAGTGTAGATGTGAGTCATGTCTTCAGGGTCATAGAAGGACACCTCCCCCCTGTCATAGTCCAGCTGGACTCTGATCCTCTGGAGACTCTTCTTCACTGTCACAGTCTGACCATCACCATTAGTGTATTCTCCACTTTCATGTGTTAAACACCAGAATCCATCTTTTGGTGAAACAAAACGCTCATTTTTGTCAACTGACTCTTTAACTAAACCTATAATCCAGGTAGGATGGTCTCCCACCTCCACCTCCCAGCTGTGTTTCCCTGACTTGAAGCCCTCAGAGCCAAAAAGAGTATGATACTTAGTGTATCTCTCTGGATTATCAGGAAGCTGCTGTTTTGAGTCTCCTTGTCTTGTGTGTGTGTGTGTATGTGTGCATGTTAGGATAAAAGTGCACAGGCAAATTACATTGGCTTCCTGTTAAATATCGCATAGATTTTAAAATTCTTTTGTTCACTTTTAATATTCTAAATAATTAAGCGCCCAGCTATCTTTCTGAACTACTCCACTTATACAATCCCAACAGAGCACTTAGATCGTCCAATCACAGGCTCCTAGCACAACCTAGGCCTTGAATGAAGTCGAGAGGTGATCGGGCCTTTGCATCCATGGCACCTAGACTCTGGAATAATCTCCCTGTTCATATTCGTACTGCCGAGTCTATCCAGTCTTTTAAATCACGTCTTAAAACTTATTTTTCATCATGCTTTTACTGACTGTGAAGCACTATGGTCAACACTGTTGTTTTAATATGTGCTATATAAACAAATTTTGATTTGATTTGATTTGATTTGATTTAATCTTGAAAACTGCATGACTCACTGGCAGACAGAAAAGAAAATCAATTCTGGGGATCTGGAACACAGAAAGTAGAATATCTAAACAAATGGAACCAGCTAACCTCAAACACCGGTTATTCTTTGCGTATCTCCTGTGTTTTTCACCACTGGTTTGTACACACATACAGAAACACATTACTATGACATCCACTTCAAATTGGCCTACACAATGATGCTATGATACATGATATTGAGATACACAATTCTGATCTGATATGACATTCTTAGCAAATTTAAAGCAAATAGAACAAAGCACAAATATATTAAATTTGATCTTTTTTATTATTAATTTTTATTTTCTTTTGTTTAGTGGTTTGGTGCTGTTTCTCAACTCAAAATGTCCTGTTGTAGTTGGACATTTTGCGTTAAGAAACAGCACCAAACCCCAACAACACTTCCCTCATGGGGCTTTATATTGTAAGGTCAAGACCCTACAATAATGCACCAAAACTCCAACCCCCTAGAGCAAGCACTTTGGCGACAGTGGGAAGGAAAAACTCACTTTTAAAAGAGAGAAACCTGGGGAAGAACCAGGCTCTGGGATGGGGTGGCCATCTGCCTCAGCCAGTTGGTGATGAGGGAAGGAAGTTGGGAAAAGAAGAGTGGTTATTTTTTAACCACTCTGGTTTTAAAATTAAATTTAGATTGCCCAATGTAAATGCATATTTTAAGTCAGTTTCAGAGTTTTGTCACATAATC